TGTAAGTGACACAAGTTAATGATTATTGCTTTACCCAAACCAGGTGACAGCCTCTTTGTGTGTATGTGAGAGTGACTGGAAAATACCAATTTAACACTTTTGTTTACTGGGACAGAGTGTTTCATTTTTAAACAGGAAAGGATTCAGTTGATATGAAAGCCTCTGTAATATCTGGCAATGGATGAGATGTGAAGTCAAAGCATACTTTCGGTCTTCTTTTTCATTTGTAGGCAGCTGGGAAAGGTTGGCTTGGTCAGATCACGATCGGCCAGACATGTTCCCCATTAAAGCTGCCACTCTGCCTGTAGAAGTGAACATTGTGTGCTTTTTTCCTCATTCTGAGTGCTGCATCGATTCACAGTGACAGAAAGATTGAAAGCTGGCCGGCCGAGGGAACGGGGCAGAAAGAGCAGCTTCAGTCTTTGCTAACAGCTGACACAATGACAAAGCAGGGCTGATCCCATGCTGGTAATCTGAAAAACAATCTACCAGAAGTTATAGAAGCCCCTGATCCCTCCACCATCCTTTCTGCAGTTCTTCTGAATGTAGCCAACAGGAAGCTGGAGATGGATGCATGACAGCCTGCTGAGCAGTTGGTGGGAGTTTCAGGTTTAGCTATGATTAATGGAGAGTGCTGCTGTGTCACACATTCAAACAGAGGAGGCCAATCAGTCCTTTACGTGCAGCTGCACAGAGCCAGAGTGTGATAAGAGGCCCGATGTGGCCGCTGCTGAGAAGCAGAGCGAGCTGCTAAAATGGGGAAATAGAAATGCGTCAGTGCGTGAACGATTCTAAAAAAAAACAGCATAATGGTTAAGAATGAAACCATACTTTCTTTATTCCAAAAAATAGAGATGGGTAATTATCATTAATGTGCAAAAGCAAAAATACCACCAGTGACTCGCTCTAAAGCAAGAAGAGCAGGAAAGAATCAGATTTAGGAGTATCACCTTGTAGATTTTTTGATAAGAAAGAGATAATAGATGTCCTTGGTCTTATTTGTTAGCCAAATATTTCGGCCTAGCGGTGGAGGTGCGGCTTTAAAATTACCTGATGGCAGATAAAGCACAATGTTAAAGTGTCCTATTCAACATCCAATTTATTTCTCAGCAGCTAATTGCAACATGTCCTATGTTAGGTCAGCACAAAATGTTCCAGCTGAAATTATTTCAGTGTTTATGGTCTCTTCTACACAATATCCTTCCCACATTCTGTGCTAATGATTCAGAGTAAAAAACAGCGAAGAACTTTTAACTTTGACCTCTTTTTCCAATCTTTATGAGTATATTGCTAAAGAAAAGTTTCCACTCAAGTGGGTCATCAGGTGTTTTGGAAGAATTGGAAGATTGCTATCAGGAAGACACTTCTATATCAATATAATCAAAGCAAAAGATTGTGGAAAATTTTATTTTACATTTAATTGCTCAATCAACTCTTATGACAACTAGATTGAGAGATGAGACTGGGTCTGAGGATGGTTTTATCATTATCTCAAGCTACCAGGAAAACTCAAACTCTGTTTCTGTGAACAGTAAAAGGTTTCTTCTTTAGTCTTGTTAAGAAAGCTCCTGATTTCAGGGCCTCTGATCCTCTTACATCATCAGCAGTTTTATCTCTGACCCCATACGCACAAATCCAGTCACATCAAACACATGCGCTGCGTCGGCATGAACACACACTACACCTACCATGTACCTGCCAGACCCTTTCAGTTTCTTTTCAAGATATACAGAGAGTTAACCTTTTTTTTCTTTTAAGAACAGACTAGACAGGTTACATCCCATCTGTAGGAAAAGCGCTGTGGATTTACTTAATTAGAGGAGAAAGTCAACTGGAGAAGATCTCCTCGAAAAGAAGGCAGGAACAAAAATATGAAATACTGCATTTAAATATATCTGCATTAGAATTTGCAACCCAGTCATCATACACTATAATTAAAGATGGCTATTTTTTTTTTTTTCACAAAACCAGTTTTATCTTTTTATGCAATTTTTTACTTTGTAAAATACTTTAAAATAATTTTTAACAAAGCCAACAATTTTCCTGTTAAATTGCGGGAAAAAAGCATTAAACATAAATCATTTTTCTATTACACCTCTAAATGTCTTACGGAGTATTGAGAAATCGGTTATGACTTATGTAATTATGTATGTATATACATCTTTCAAAGGAGATGAGGTGAGCCGTGTTACTCTTTTATAGGAAATGCAGAACATAAGTAAATGTATAGAACATTTTTGGCAGTTATGTAATAAAAAAGGGCAGAGAAAAAAATCAAGCGCACACTGAGATGCATCCACAGAGGGCTGTGGGTCTTAGGATGCTTTGCTCACAGATGGTGAGAGGAGAGCGAAGACAGATGGTTGCCTTCTCCTTTTCCCCCTCTGATTATTCCTCATTCCAAAATAAACTCTAATGCAAGGTTGGTGTTAAGTAAGGTCAAACATTTCGGATACGCTACGAATCTGCAGACGGATTTTTTGTTAACTCTTTTAAAATGTCAGACAAATTTAGAAGTTTTAATACTAATATTCATCTTGGCCACTTTATTGACAAATGAGTGGACACGTTTGCCTCTCTATCAACATGCCATCAGTTGTGAGTGTGAGTGGCAATTATCTTTCAGCGCAGAGTAAATAAAATATCAATCCAACAGGGGGTTTCCAGGTCAGTGCTGGAAGCATTGTGCATTGCATAACAATACTGACACAACCCAGTCACAGTGTCCTGATGAGTAAACGCAGCAACCGACTCAATGGCACAAAAATGATCGTAAAATATGCATTACTATGTTTACATTTCTTTTTTTATTACAAAAGAAATTTGATCTGCATTCGAGGAATGGAACAACACCTCACTCTGCAGAAAGTGCATGATGAACCACTCCTATATTTAAGCTTTTTAACCTTTTGTCCATTACAAGCACAAACATTAGAATATATTATTGGAATTTTTGCAGACAAGGAAAGCGTTGATCAAAGAAGCAGCCAAGTGTGTTTTACATATGTTCTGATAAGACCTAAACTGCAGTTCTTGGCCTGCATGTAGGATTGGAGGCAAATTGGAATCATAGTTTGAGTTTGATTTGTTTCAGCAGGGCAGGGAGGCTGCTTAGAGTGGTTGGAGTTGAATACAAGGCAGTTAGAAAAGCTTAAGACTTGAGACTGAAGCAGAGGTTAACCAACAAGCAGAGTGACGACCCTGAACAGACAGCCAGAGCTAGAACGGCAAGGATTTAAAATACACCTATTCATTAGAAAACCCAAGGATTGGTGGAAAGACTTCAAAATAGTTGACTCATTGTCCATGGATGCTCTCGTTTGAATCTGACTCTAGATTTGCAAAGTTAAAGATAAATGCATGCCACTCTTATGACAACTAGATTGAGACCGGGTCTGAGGATAGCTTTTTCATTATCTCAGCCTACCAGGAAAACCTAAACACTGTTTCTGTGAACAGTAGAAGGTTTCTACTTTAGTCCTGTTAAGAAAGCTCCTGATTTCAGAGCCACAGATAAAAGATAAATGCATGCAACTCTTTTAGATTTCAATTTTTAAAAAAACATGCCACGTTAAACAATATGCCCTATAATGTTGATACTAAAAAAATGAATATCTTCTTCAAGCTCCTACAAAGATAACCCTCTACCTGTTTGTCCCCTGACCACCATGGGAAAACTGTACCAACAGCTCTCTGTAGGGGACTCTTTCGCAAAACTCTGAAATACCTGAGCAGCATGCTATTTAACATGAGCAGGGTGTGTATAGCATTGCCCCTGTATATTTCCTGAGGTTTTTCACTAGGGTGCAAGAACTGCTGTAAATGCTTGATGTTTCTGCCCCTTGGCTTCTGGTCCAGTGGGACCTAATCATTACACAGCCAGAGAAAAGCAGACAAAGCATCAGCGTTTGCTGATTTAAAAGGCAAGACTGTTTAAGGTTGTGTTGCACAAGGATCTCTGTCTTAGTTTTAATCAATTCATCAAAGGTATCTAACATGACAAATTCCAGTTTCTGCTTGATACCTTGCAGATCATTCATTTTATTTGGAACAACAACAGTAACAGGAAAAGGCAAAACAATCAACAGAAGCATATCAACTTGCCCACATGTCCTTGTCTATCCGTGCAAATATTTTGATAACATACAACATGTCCAGACCCTGCAGCTGTCTGGTTTAAATATCAAACAGATGGGGAAAATGCACACGTCCTCATAGATCAAACATGCCAATCAGCCATATGACCAGCTTATCATGACTGAGGAGTGCTGCCAGCAGACCCACTAATGAGTTTGATGCAGACTGAGTTTCTTGAATAAGGGGTAGAAAAGCAGGCAAATTCTTCATCCTGGCATTTGGAACTTCACAGCTTCTTGACCCTCCTGCTGATATTGATAGCCTTGGGGAATAAAGCAAGCTGTAAAACAGCAAGACTCCCCTTCAAATGGACAAACACTTCAAAATGGTTGTGAAATCGTCTTCACACTGTTCTTTGAAAAAAGGACACAAAGAATTCAGAGTTGTAAAACCCATTCAGTTACTTGTCTTGTGTTTTGTTTAGAAAAAAAGGGTTAATTTCTGAATCCAAAGCTCTTATTCTCGCTAAAGAAATAATATTTATCCTGAGGAAGAAGAAAAAACCCACATCTAAATGTAATTATTTGATTTAAGCAGCTCAATCAAAGGGATGAATATATAAATTTGGAGCAACAATCTCCAGAATTTCATGACTACAAAATATATTTCTCTTGTATGGAGCATTTTTAGAAATGAGTATACATTGTTTTTTTATTTTTCCCAAATAGAAAATAAAAAAAAATTCCAGTATGGGCTCAGAGTAGGAATAGGTAGTGTTAATGAACTTTTATAGATCTGAAAAAGTAACAGGCCAAACCAAACACAGAGGAGTCTCCTCCCCTCTCTCGCCTGGCCTATATTAACTTCCCATGGAGCTCCACCCTACAACTAAAGCCACATGGAATGGAATAAGGCACTGCCAAGGCACTGGGAATAAATGCACATACCCACACAAATTTAGCTACCTGGACTACAGAGAAACTTTTTCCTCCTGTTTTGTGTTTTTTGATTCTCTTTTATTTTTTGGATGGATGCCTTTTTAATGCACAAATAATCTCTTACTTTTGGATTTATTGCATCTTTTCATCATGTTTTTCCAGTTATTTCATGAGAATTCCAACATGGGTAAGTTAGAGACAAAGCATGACATTTGTTGTTTTTATGGGTTTTTTTGTTGTTGTTTTTTGCATGTTCTCAAAAACTCAAACAGAAAAGCTTAAAGACAGAGCAATATATTTATCATAAACAAGGGTCAGTAATAATAACCTTACATACACTCAGGTGCTTTGGGGGATTTGAATTTAAGTTTCCTCTTGAGCATCACATGAACACATAATAATATCTGCTGTACAAAGAAACAAACTGGCAGGACCCTGACTGCGTTTGTTTAGGGTTCACAGATTATAACACAGAAATAACTGAGAGGTAAAAATAGAGAGCTCTTAATCAGACACTGCTAGGACTTGATGTCAACTGTTTGTCTCATGATGTAACAGGAGAGGCTGGCAATACAGACTAGAAGGTGTCAGCATGGGGACACATTGTTAGTACTTAGAGGAGAGGATTTCTTTTAGATCGCAAAATGATTCAAAGCAAGGAGTGTTGACTTAAATGGAGTTTGTGTTTCTAAGTATTTTGTAACATTGCTTCATTGATACTGCAACACAAACAGGGCAAAGAGCAGTGACAGGGACACTGATCTAATTCTAACACTATTTATCAATGAAACCAGAGAGTCCTGTGGAAATTGGTCAAACACAATGGAGCCGGTTCACAATGAAAGCTTAAATTAAACCTTTTTAAATTGGTTTCTGCTTTTTCCTGACATGGAATTGGTTGTGTGCATCTGAGCCTACCAGTGGCGGCCGGCCCATAGGGGGCGCTGGGGCACCGCCCTCCCTGATAAGAAGAGAGAAACGTAAAATATATTTTTAGAAATTAACTCATAAATGTCAGTTTTACTCTCTAGACTGTGTACCTATAAGCAAAACAAATTATATAAACTACATTTCCCTATCTACTGTCATTAATTTGTGGATTTCCACAGACAGACTCCTACCGTCTCTGTTCTGGGGGCGCTGATCAGACTGACCCACATTTGCAGAGAATCTGTCAATCATGTACTATTGCTAGGTGAATTTAATGGCCAATCAGCGTCTCGGAACTTTATGGTATTGGGGCGCTGAAAATACTGCGCTTTAACAGGCTTCTGAACCCAAGCGCAGGTGCAGACAGTTAGAGGGAAGATGGCGAATGTAACGAGCCGAGATGCAGCTTCCACCAAATTCGGTGAGATCCTTATTTATCTACCCGTTTGCCAGAAGAATATCCCTGTTGTAGGATATGAACATTTCATGTCATGGTTATTGTGACTGTGACGAATCCACCTCGTCGCTTAAAACAACCTCTCTAACTTTGCGCACCACACACACATTCCTGTTATACCGTGTTTGTGAGGACCAATACACTCGCGCTGAGACCAGTAGCTCCATGAACTTAAAACACACAAGCTGTTCCTGGTTACCTGCTGGCATATTGAGGGTGCACACTTAATATTTCAGTGGGGTTAGCCGTGTGTGTGTGTGTGTGTGTGTGGGTGTGTGTGTGTGTGTGTGTGTGTGTGGGTGTGTGTGTGTGTGTGTGTGTGTGTGTGTGTGTGTGTGTGTGTGTGTGTGTGTGTGTGTGTGTGTGTGTGTGTGAGTGTGTGTGTGTGGGGGGGGGGGGGGGTGTACGTGTTTATGCTATGGGGACTTGTCATCTTCAGTCTGGCTGCGTCTTTGCTGGGTTCAAACCCCGTTTGGTGTAATTGAATAAGTCAATGAATCTGTGTAAAAGAATTAAGTTGTAAAAATTATTTGTTTTGTTTTACATCAATTGTTTGTGGAGGTAATATATGGACAAAACTGATTAATGAGAAGAAATCAGAAATAAGAGAGCCTGATGTGAGGGGCTTAAACTATTTAATGAGGGCTGTGGGAAGAAAAGCGGCAATTTTTGTTTTCTGTTTCTTTGTTACATTGCTGGTAACTGGAGGGAGGCTGAGGCCCAGAGTATCTTGTATGTTTAGTTTCTTTTGCACCCTGTTTTGAGTTTTTGAGCTCAATAAATCACCAACACCGGTAACCCGACTGAGCCTGGATTCTTGGAGGCCAAAGAACCCCGTCACAGTGACCCAAATCATCACTGTTACTGTTATTATATAGTAAATTAAATCATTACTGTTAAATTGTATGTATTTTCCAATTGTTTATTTGAATTCTTATTCCGGATTAGTTGGAGACATACACTAGGCTATATCAGCCCTACCAAAAATATTTTTCACCAGCCGCCACTGGAGCCTACGCTGAAAAAAATAATGCAACTACTTTTGGCATTTACCTATGATTAAGTAAATGCTTACTTTAACACGGTTGTTTATGTCCTATCCTGCTTACATGAAACAATTGTGTTAAATTAACTAAATATGGTTAAGTAAATGCCAAAAACAGTTGCATTATTTTTGCACGGTGATGCAGGCAATGACATTTTTGGGGTTCAGATGCAGCATTCATTTGTTTCTTGAAAATAGAATAAGCTGCATAAGCTGTACAATAAGCTGCGTTTAATATTAAAAATAAATTGCTGCATTTCTTGTACCTCCTTCATAAACATGCATCAAATAATTCTTAAAATATCAGGCGTTAATATTTCAAGCTCATGCATCTATCATGTAAAGAATAGTGGGAAATGAATCACTTAAGATGCGTGTCTGTTTTTTTTTTTTTTGTTTTTTTTTTTGAACTGGTCCTGTCGCACCATGCTCAGTCCGCATGCAGCTTCTCCATCGCAGAGCCCACCCCGGCCTGTGAGGAGCCTCCGCATTCAGGGGCACATGGACTCTCACATGGTCTGCCTGCGGATGCTGATGTAGACCGCTGCAGCTGTGATGCTGCATGCCTTCCTACACGCCCACCTGTCCGCTCATACAGTGAGAGTCGAGACCAGACGGCTGGAATATGCTCTTAAATGCAGATTAAGAATATAATGTAATCAAAAGGCAGCTCCCGGATTTCACCTACTTTTATGGGCTATCTTTTCCCCTTCATTCTGTGCAGGATATAATGCGAGATCCAGGGGGATCACCCTGCTCATCTCCTTGCAAGGCTTCCTTTGCAAGCTAAAATGAAGTGCAAGGCGTTTTTCTCATCCGCAGGACTAATATTTTTAAATTTTTCTAAAAGTAAAAAAAACTGTATCAAACGCAAATGCAAACAGAGAGTCGGATGGGATGAAGCAAATCTAAAAACACTGAGTTAAACATCGGAGGGGAAAAAAAACTAAAACAAAACAGCTGTGATCGCATGCATGATACAGTCCAGTCACTGCACTGGATACCCTGTAGGTCTGTATTTGTGTTTTTCTTATTTTTCAGTAACAAGCTGTATATATTTAGTAGATTCAGAAGGGGAAAATGTAGTTGAGCATCTTCACATTTGAATAACAGTTTTAAAACATTACAGCATTAATGTTACTTCTGCGTTACCTGATAAAAGTTATAAATGTGTGTCAAATCGGTGTTCATTGAACTGGGTTTAAAACGCACAGGTATCTATTGTTTTGAATGACTTTTGCTGCTTTCACGTACGACTTGAAGATCAACCGATAGGTCCGTAGAGCCCACGCAACATCCCGTTGCAAGTGTAACTTTTCGATGTCCTATCCTAAAAACATATTCTTAAGTTGCTATTGTTTTAAGTAGGTGTTTAGTCAGTAGAAAATTACAATTAGGGATTTAAATAAGAATGTAAATGGTGTCTACAGGAACATATGTAGGTAGAGTTTGATTAAATAATATATTTACTTTAAATGATTCCCTACAATGTAGCATTATGTGATTAAGTATAAATTACAAAATATTTGCATTTGTTAATTTCAATTTGGATTAAATGAGTAACATTTAACGAAAATGTCGAAATATTTGATTCGGCCTTCCTTAAATTTAATCTCTAAACCTCCCTCGCCATAATAGGAGTATTTCCGACAACCCCTGAATGTAGCTCCGTTACGTCACGCCTGCATTTCATAGGCAGCCCAAATGGCGAATGCACCAGATCCGCAGACCTCCGGGAGCGAAGCGCACGCAAACCTCGTTCTTGTTTGGTTTTTACAATAACCCAGTAAATGCAACGAATGAAGCCTGTAAGTAGAGTATCTTATCTTCATACTCTTCACGTATATTTACACTCTGAGTCGTTTCAATACAGGATTTGTATCGTTTAAAGCCGTTTTACCGAGCTCGGCTTTGTGTTTGTCGGCGCTGTGAGAGCCTGGACCACGTAGTCAAAACCTTCCGCCAACAACGGCTCCTTTGTTCGCGCTTTTACAACGTTTCTTTCCTAAACGGGCCTCGATTACTTAACACGAACGGCTTATTAAAAGGAAAAAAACCTCATATCTACAGATATAGACGCATTTATCTTTATTCTGGATACGGGTTTGTGATAAATTTACACCGAGCGAATGTGGTAGCTTTCTTGTCGTTTTTTCCACCGCCCGGTAACTAACCCACTGAGGCCTAATATGGGATTTAATAACAGCGTAGGAGCCGTCATTTTTAAATGCGTTATTATTATTAACAGTCTATCAATTTTATATTTTAGGCCTTGTTTTTATTTCCTGAAATGCAATGATGGCCCGAACCGGATTGGCAAGCGCTCTTTGCCGGGTAGAGGAGGGGCTAGAGTCCCTTACGACAGCGGGGATGGAAATTGTGGCTCTCCTCCAAGATCCACATCATATGGCCCTGCTGACCCAATGGAACCGGTTCTTTTTTACTTAACCCAACGAGTAAGCCCTTTAAAACAGGCCAAGGCAGGGTTGAAGTACTATATGCCGAGTAATACGTTAAGAAGTACTAATACAACTATTAATGGACAGAAATGCAAACAAATTGGAGGAAAAAATGGCAAATTCAAATCCTTATCTATAAATCTTACTAACAATAGGGTTTGAAATTAGAATAATTCTGCAAAAGGTTCACTTGATATGCAAAGTTTAAAAGGTAACAAACTTAAGCTGTATTATTACAATACCAAATTAATAACACAATAAGATCTTGTATTCCAAATCATATTTCATATCATATTTTTACTTTAATTACCATTTTTATATTGTATTCTCACTGTGTTTTTAATCCAATGGTAAGGTCCTGTTGTTTTTTTTCCTGGTAAAAGCTTTCAGATAGACCTGTTCTTAAAAAAAACAATTCTTTGCCTGGCTTTGAAAGTTAAAATTATGTATTAAATTCAGCTCATACATTTTGTAAGGTTCTGTAATTTATTTTTCTCCTGTTTTTGTTCTTCTCTTCCAGGTTATATCCAAGTAAGATGGAGGATAGTTTTGATTGTGACTGTGGCGAACTTGAGCCACCTGATCACTGAGTGAAAATTTATTTTTGAAGACTCAAAAAAAAAAGGCCAGAAACATTTCATTTTATATATCAGGAGACTTGACCAGAAAAACAGATACCAAGAAAAGAAAAAATATTTGTGCATTTCTTATGAAGCTGCTCAGGACCAGTCGTACACTGAATGTATCTGCACTGTGAGGATGCCACTACATGGTTTTATCTTTTAGTATAATCCGTGTTATCTTTCTTTTTTTCCTTTTCCGATTGGCCTCAAAGTCCATTCCATCGTAGTCTATAAATTATAGAGCATATCTGCTCAAGATATCCTCTCACCTAAAGGATTGAATAAGGAATTTCTTTATATATTTTTTTCTCCAATAATAAACATGGAAAGAAAATATGATTGTATACTAGAGTCCCATATCTGAGAGTGACGGCTAGCCAGGGGGGACTTGGTAGTCGACTGTACAGGGGTTAGTTAGTCCAGACTCTGAAGCAAAGGGGGTTATTTGATAGCTCCTTCGGTGTTAAAGTGGGGTTAAAAGCAGGCCAGAAATTTGGCAAAAGAAGCTTATAACCAGTAATCATGGCGGAGAAATTTGAGTCACTGATGAACATCCATGGCTTCGATCTGGGCTCTCGCTACATGGACTTGAAACCTCTGGGCTATGGAGGGAACGGCCTAGTGTTCTCAGCGGTTGATACCGACTGTGACAAGCGCGTGGCGGTGAAGAAAATAATCTTGACCGACCCCCAGAGTGTGAAACACGCCCTGCGGGAAATCAAGATCATCAGACGACTTGATCATGACAACATTGTGAAGGTACAGTTTGTTGTCAGACGGATCATCTGGTGCAGTATCTGAAGTTAAGCTAATGCTAACCTTTTTTTTTTTTTTGCTTCCAACAGGTGTTTGAGACGCTGGGTCCCTGCGGTCGCAGACTAACAGAGGATGTGGCGTCGCTTACAGAGGTCAACTCGGTCTACATTGTGCAGGAGTACATGGAGACTGACCTCTGTCAGCTTCTGGAGAGGGGCCCCATGTCTGAGGGCCATGCCCGGCTCTTCATGTACCAGCTCCTAAGGGGCCTTAAGTACATCCACTCGGCCAATGTGCTTCACCGTGACCTCAAGCCTGCGAACCTGTTTGTCAACACAGAGGACCTGGTTCTGAAGATTGGAGACTTTGGGTTGGCCCGCATCATGGACCCTCACTACTCTCACAAGGTAGGACGTTGATCTCTTGTAATTGAGTACAATGTAAAATGCTTCTTTTTTTTTTTTTTTTTTTCTTCTTCTTCTTTTAAGCTGTATTTGGGTTTGTTTCAGTGCTGCTCTGTATTACTTACCTTTTTGCTGTAAATTGGGGTGGCGATGCACCAATGAATATTTTAGTTTGTATTTTTAGCTACTAATATGGTGTTCCCCCGGGTGACGCAGTTTTATAGCAGGAAGTAAAGAAGGCAGGATGTGGTTCCTTGAGATTACGTCTTGGCTTCCTTTCCCAGCTAAAAAGAGGCTGGAAATGCTAAACTCGAAAGAATGGCTCTTGTTTGGTTCCATTATCTGTGTGTGTTCATAATTGGGTTTTAAATAGTTTTACACTCAAGCAGGCAAGATGTGCATATATGGGAAAGGTTTTTATGCAAATAATTGAGGAATTAAGTTTCAGATGTGTGGTAAAACCTGGCATCATCAGCCTGCTGTTAAGGTACATGTTTTATAGCTCAATGTAAAAAGAAAAAAACAAAAACCCCAGCATTTTGTTCTAGCTGTAGGTATTCTTCTCTTAGTGTAAAGACTAAGATTCAACCAGTTGATTGCAGCCAGATGAGCTGAATCTTAATCAGACCAATGAGGAAATTCCTGCTTGCTGCCATATGGTTGTGTGAGGTGGAAAGAAAATGTAGGTTAGCGAGTCTCTCTCTGGTTGCATGGGGACCTCGTTCGAGCTCAGATTCAGTCAGATGCTTACACGTGTCTCAGATTAGTCATTGGCGTCTAGAGTGAGCTCACGTGGAGTGATCCTTTTGCCTGGTATGGCTTCATCTTCAGCCAGGACTGTACCACATCAGACAAGACTCTTGACACAGACTTGTTTGGATTCTTTTATCACACTTTTAAGCAAAAAACCTATGCTATACTTGTGTAGACCTTCTTCAGCTGTGACATGTCTGGCTATGAGTCATAATTGTTGGTGGAGACTTTATGTCACTCTGCAAAAGGAAGAGCAAGATGCAAGCTCACAGTTGATGGTTCGGATATTTCACTCAGCTTTGTAGCTAAGTGCAGCTTAGGGTTTGCAATGGGGCGTCTTCTCTCTGCATACGCACATCTCCTAATTAGAAACATGCAAGTACTGTAAAGCTGCCTCTTGGGCCTTTTATATTTTACCTAAGTCTTAGTTTTTATTTTGATGCAGACATGATGGTTTGAACCTCCTTTCCGAACAATGTGGTATTATCATGATACGGGAGCTAAAGTTGATTAAATACCATTGATAAACATTTTCCTTCTAGTTTGTTTCCAAACTACGCACTTTACCTTAACAAAAGGAACTCTGATGGAGTGATTGTGCCGGCATTAGAATGTTGTTTAGGATCCCTTGGGGCAAATATGCTTTCACAACCACCATCCACGTCATGGCAACAGACACTGGGTGCATATTTAAATGTTTCTGAAAACAGAAGCAGTCTTCCGTTCTTTTTTTTGTTGGTTTTCTAGTGAACTTCAGTTCCTGGTTTACCTTTAGTAGTTAGATAACAGTTGTTGGGTTTCTCTACCTTACCTCCAGTAATCCCTCTCTTCTTTGTGAGCTTTAAGGTTGGCCCATGTATTGGGCGAGAGCTCAAGAATGACAAAAATCTGTGTGCACTCACCCAGTTTCTCCAACCCATACCCTCCTCTCTTTCCCCAGCCAGCTCTTTGTCTTGTTTTAAGAGTAGGGGAACAGGGGGGGGGGGGGGGGGGGGGGGGGGGGCTGCCTGGGGCTTTATTTCAAATTTCCAGTTGTGGCATGCCCTTGAACAGACAGACTTCAGAAAGACCTCTGGTTCTGCTTAGCAAAGCTTTATTTGTTCTTTTAATACTTCAAACTACTGAATTATGCTTCTAAAAAGTTCATCACTGTCAGTTCTTTGTGCCATTAGCTCATTTTCTTGCATTTAACAGATTTGACATTTTGCCTGTGTGAGCAGTGACTTGTTTCTAATAAGGGTCACAAAGATAGCTCTCCTGAGAAATAATTTCATACTTAAAGTTTTTTGGGGTTTTCCTTTCAAATTAGCTCTGCCAAGGTCAGTAATTTGAGAAGCTATATAAATGACTTCAGTTTTCAACGCTTGTATAAGGAGAGTTTACAGAGGTCCTTTTTGTTACACAGGCTTCCTGAAACTCCAAACCACGAGCACAGCACTCATACGCGTCTGACCCAGTTTCTCAGTCAGCAACAGGCTTGTCTGGCAGAGAGAAATATGCAATAGAAGCTGACACATACTGAGTTTCTGTTCATAAAAGCTTTTTTCCAATACAAAGTAGTTTAATGTGCTGTGGGATTGTCTGTTATGCAGGTTTATATGTCAAGTGAATCATGGGATTGAAGTGAGGTTAGCTCTGAGTTTTCCCCCTTAACAGTCCTATTGTTGAACAGGGAAGTGCTTCTTACCGGTCTGTTTGTGGTTGAGCTGCATTCAGTGTCAAAAATACCTTGGCTGAATTTGAGCTAAAAAAAAAACTGGTTTTATTCTTTTTACCAGCATTGTCCAGGAAATATTTAATACTTTTTTTTTTTTTACTGCCATCTGGTTAGACCTGCTTCAGGATGTTGAGACTAATTCATGTGAGCTGGTTATGAGTCATATGTCAGCCTGTTCTGATCTTGATCAAGTGGTTGAGTTATTCACCAACTGTTGCCAGAGGCACCTGAAGGGTTGATGCTTTCATAAACCTGTCTGTTTCTGACAATGGCCACTATATTAAAGCAGCAAATGTTTACCTCATGAACTTCATGTCTCCAATCATTGAGCAAACTTTGATCAGCTGCTCTTAGTTTCAGAGTCCATTCTGTACAGAGAATTATACTTACACAACCATAAATGCTAACCTAGTTTGCATCCCTCTCTGCTAAACTGGTTAACTACCACAGTCACGGTCTTATAAGTCAGCTTCCCCACTAGTTTCTCAGAAAGACAGCTAGCCGGCTCTAATTAGGGGTCAGTAATTAGGTGCAACCTGTCTGTGCTCCATGCAGCTAATTCGGTCCGACCTATTTCACAAGCCGCTGTTCGACAAACGGATTAGCCGGTTACCTGGAGGAAGGAGATATGTCTCCATGCTGCACTTTGTGCCATTTTTAGATCCATAAAACAAGAGCTTGCAGAGCGTCGGTACGCTTCAGGATAACATGACATCAAATATCTGCAGCTAAATTAGGCAAGAAAGAGGAGCCTTGCTTGGTGGGATCGGACCAATTTGGTCCCACCATGACCTACAGCTGCAGGTGGGGGAAGGGAGGGTGTCATTTTACCACATCCCATCCCCCAAAGTATATTCAACCATACTCACTCACTAGAGCTTCCCTTTGTGTTCAGGGGCCAGTGAGTTGTTAAACTGTGGAAAGCTGGTTGGTGTCTGCTGGGGCGGCTCTTAGATTGCTGACATGGCTATGCATGTCAAATGTGCCTCACCTCCCTCTTTTCATTTAATTTCCCCCCTTCTGGGGTCTGTTTCCCTAACCTGGACAGAGCACCTCTGTTAAGGAGGTTGGACCAAAGGGTTGGAGATTTAAAATGCAGCACAGCCATTAATACATTTGAACTTTACCACCAGAAATCAATGAAGAAAAGGTTACATGTGTTTGAGGGCCGCAGAAGATTTAAACAGGATAATGGATGCTTTTTTTTTGTTTAAACTTTTCAAACAATTGGGAGTAAATGTGTTTGCTGACTACCCTGCTGTACTCTGAAGGTGTTCTGTCTTTTGCCATCATCACAGGGTCATCTCTCTGAAGGTCTCGTCACAAAGTGGTACAGATCTCCTCGCCTGCTGCTCTCTCCAAACAACTACACCAAAGCCATTGACTTGTGGGCTGCTGGCTGCATCTTTTCTGAGATGCTTACGGGAAAGACTCTTTTTGCAGGTAATTGACTGCTCCGATGCATGAATGTTCAAACAGTCGAGAGTCGTTTTTTAATTAGAACTTAGGAGGTAAATGTATAGCAATGGAAGGAGGCTGTGTTTATCTAGCTGGTGTTTAGATAAGGTTGGGGATGAAGGCAGAGCCTGTCTTTTATTATCTTTTCCATTTTAAATCCTGCTAGAGCTGGATCAAACTGTCTGCTAGTATGTAGGAACTGCCCTAAGCTGGGCACAAGACAAACAAAAGCTGTTCCCATGATCTTCCACTCACAGCCTGCCTAAATTCCCTTTCAGATGTTGGATGTTTTGTAACGTTTCCAGGAAACAGTCCAACGTTTGTCTGTCTGTTTCAGGAGCACACGAGCTCGAGCAGATGCAGCTGATCCTCGAGTCCATTCCCGTGCTGCATGAGGAAGACCGACAAGAACTTCACAGCGTCATTCCCGTCTTCATCCGCAGCGACATGTCGATGCCCCACACGCCGCTGGTTAAGCTGCTGCCTGGTGTCAGTCCTCAGGGTGAGCACTGCATTATGCATCCAGAAGTAGCTGCAGAGTCAACTGGAGCTCTGAGTTCAGGGTTAGGTCGCTCATGTATCACTACTCTGGTTACCTGATTGACAGCCTCATGTTTCTGTCCTCTTTAGCCCTTGATTTTCTGGAGAAGATTCTCACCTTTAACCCGATTGACCGTCTAACTGCCGAAGAGGCCCTGGCCCACCCCTATATGGCTGACTACTCCTTCCCCCTGGATGAGCCGGTCTCTCTGCACCCTTTTCACATTGAAGACGAAGTCGATGATATTCTGCTCATGGACCAGAGCCACAGCCATACGTGGGAGAGGTGTGTTGCCAAACTCCCAAGAAAAAGATTAGATCTGATAATGGTGATTTGAAATAAAAGAACCTGTTCTGATTGGTTTATGCCATTTTAGGTATCATGAGAGCCAGTTCTCAGAGGCTGATTGGCAGTTGCACAGCACCCATGATCCAGATGAAGTTCAGGTCGACCCAAGGGCCCTCTCTGATGTTACCGACGAAGAAGAGGTCCAGGTATGTAATCTAAACTTAAGCCCTTTACGGGTGAAAGAATAAAGATATATTATGTGATTTCTAAAAGAAAAATCCTGTTTTTCTTGTTTACAACCAGGTTGATCCCCGTAAATATGCTGACGGAGACAGAGAGAAGTTCCGGGATGACCCGTCCTTCGACTACTCTGCTCTGCTCCCATCGGAGCGATCTTGGCAGGAAGACCACCACGAGAACAAGTACTGTGATGTGCAGTGTAGTTACACTTGCAACTATAAGGCCGTGTCCCCCTCCTACCTTGACAACCTCATCTGGAGGGACAGCGAAGTCAACCACTACCATGAACCCAAGCTCATCATTGACCTGTCAAACTGGAAGGAGCAGCAGAGCAAGGAGAAGGCAGACCGCAAGGCTAAGAGCAAGTGTGAGAAGAACGGGCTCATGAAGGCCCAGATCGCACTGAAAGAGGCCGAGAAGATCCAGAGTCCCACAGAGAAGGACAGTGAACAGGAAAAACATCAGACGGAGAGGCAGCAGAACCAAGGCTTTGACTTTGACTCCTTCATCGCCAGCACCATTAAACTGAGCCTGCAGCCGGAGCCCTGTCAGGAGGTCACCCTGCTCAGCGAGGTGGGCCTTCTAAACGAGCGCAACTTCTCTGTCTCCCAGCTAGAGGCAACGCGCTCAACATCAATGTCAAAGACTATCAGTCAGGAGAAGGAGGAGAAGTGCCTGGTAAACCTGGCTCAGTTAGGCGGTGGGGGTCTGGGAGTTGTGGCCGGGGACTGCGTCTGGCCTGCTGAGCCTTGGGAGAGCGCTGGCGACTGTTTAATAGACGAAGCGTGCTGGGACATCCGTAAGGCGGACCACCTGCAGAAGGAGAGCTCGTACACCAGCTACCTGGACCACTTCTTCAGCCGGAAAGAAGATGTCACAGAGACGGTGACCAGCTTGGAGGTGGAGCCCTCAGTGGTGAAAGAGCTAGACGACGGCTTCCTGGACAGTAACACAGAGATTGTGCTTAATATGCAGCTGGACTCTCTGGCCTTGCCTGTGTTTGACAGCCCCGATGACTTGCCTCTAAAATCCATCCAGGCCTCCCTCTCCCCCTGCGCTGTCAAATGCTCCCCACAGATAGCCCACAAAACCTACAGCAGCATCTTCAAGCATCTTAATTAACGACATACCTGCATCTTCCCTCACAGTGCAAAATCTAGGCCGTTTTTATTTTAATACAATGTTATTGTACTTGAATCATTTCATACCTTTTTTATTATTATTATAGTTTTATTATTTTGAGGAGTTGAGGGGGTGATTGATTATATTTAAGAGTTTCATCGTCACTCTGAGCCTTGATCACCCGGCCTTCATGGGTTAACGTCTCATTGCTAAACTGGCATGTCATTGCACATGTAAGTATTGTAGATAGAAGGAAGGAGGAAGAAAAGTAGAGAAGTGAAGAAATGGAAGGAAAGAATTAAAGAGAGGAGATTTTTGAAGGAAATATTGGTGAGCAAACATCGCTGTGGGCTTTTAAAGTGCTTTCAAACACTCTTTCCTGAGGTTGGGGTATATATACTTTAGGGGGTTGGGTGGGTTGTCTGTTTTTCTTTTCCCTTTTGTTGACTTTCTAACATGTTTCCCTGAAAAAAGTTTCCTTTACAATCCTTTCATACTGTAAATCTGACACATGATGCCAGCAGCAACCATTATCGTAGGCGTTAAAATGTAAATGTGTTATCTACCTCAAGGTAACAGCAGTGAGAGAGACACTCGAAGCCACACTAGTGCTTTACACACATGACCATCCTCATACCATGAAATGAAGAGGTCGCCAAGATGAAATCTGTCTCACTTCGGCATTCAACATAGTGAGGTGTTTCAGTAATTATTTATTTTTAGCAGATGTGCGATATTTATTTTATGAAACTTGGTTATGTCAAATGTGATTCTTGACGTTTTGAAGAGCTGAACAGACTTCCATTTTCATTTCGGCACTATAAGGATGTGCAAGTGTTCCTTTTGTTTTTAACTTAGGATGCGTATTCATGTGTTTTTGTTCTAAAACAAGTTGAGGCTTTCCTCTTTTTTCCATCTATTCTCTGTATTTTTTTTTTTTTTTTACATATACAGTAGGTGCATTTTGTCATTCGTGGAAAAACACATGTATCATTTGAAGAAGCGCCTAAAAGTCTTACTTTTTTTTTAAGAATAACATTTAAGTGTTTAAAAAAGACCATGGAGGCATTGGAAAGGTACATGAAAATGAAAGCTAACGGTGGGTATAAAGTACGTCAGTTTTAATTGTATGTTTTTTTTGTTTGTCTTTTGTTAAATTTCTATGTACTTTTTCCAGGCAAGCATGATGAATTAGGTTAAGGTGTAGCATGTAGAACACTTACAGACTTGTTTTTGTAATTATTGGTTCCCCTGTTCTACAAAATATCTCAAAATAAAAATTACTGGCAAAGAAAAGTCTCATTTCTGGACAGTATGTTGTATACTAAATGCTTTCCTTTGGAACGTAGGTTTTACAAAGGTTATGTTTAAGGAAAGGTGCCTTTTCAGTCTTTAATGCAATGTTCATTGACCAGAAATCACTGCCAGAGTACTCGTAGTTTCAGTCATCTGTAGTTGAAGATCAGGGGGTCTGGGGCCACAAGTGGCTCTTGGGATTCTATAATGGCTCTTAGTTGTAGCTAAAAACGAGAAGTCAACTAATTGTTTTGAATATACCAGTTTTACAAGCTTAAGCAGTTTTAAATAACATTTGTAGTTAATCTTCACTAAAGAATCTGGGAATATGTTTTTAGATCAATATTTCTTCCCATTAGCTTGGAAACTTTTTTTTTTTAACCTAAAATATCCTTGAAAACAAAATGGATGCTTCCTCTATGAAACTTCTGTTTAACATGACAAATGTTCTATTGCTGATATTTAACAAATATAAGTTGGTTTATTTAAAGGCCATTTAATAGTTGTTGCTCTAATTATTTAGCTGGGTGCAGGGTGAAATGTTTTTTTATTTATTTAAAAGGTTGCAGACCCCTGATCTAATTCTAGTCTGACCTCAAAGTTCCCCAACTTCTAGAGATATGAAAGGACCTGATGAAAGCTGCTTCATAAAACCAAGCAGCATGACGGTTCTGAAGGAATTGGCTGGAATGAGGTCATCCTACTGGACAGATCTAAGTGGACAATATTTAATCACTGCAAAATGACTCTAAAAGTGCAGCTAGATTTCTGCGGGAGCTGAGCTTTGGACTTCAAACGGTCTTAAAGGGATATATTTTTGATGGATTTTATTCATTTTGTTTTATTTTAGGTACATTTAAAAAAAAAACATTTTTTTCATGTATCATACATGAGACATCTGTCAGTTAATTGCCAGTGAAGGGGAACAGATTACTTAATTCTCAATCGGAATTTTAAATTCAATAAAATATGAAGTTTTATTCACTGACATCTGGCTTTAAAACCACTGATTCCAGTAGCTGGCTAAAACCTTTCATCAGCTGTTAAATTGCTTACTCTGTGGGTTATTATGCAACGTGTTTCAAGATGAAAAGAAATTGGCATAACTAATTCATACAGGTCTTCAATTTAATCAATCTCTAGTCTAAAATCGAAGGAAGCAGAAATCTTTAACCTGTAATTTTGATCAACATGAAATAAAATGTGGATAAGTTGTCATAGTGTTTTTTCAGTTTGTAGACATTTCTTCAGAGGTTTAGGGTATTAACTGAGTTTTAAAATGCTTTCTTAGTATTAGGTCAGGTAAAGAACAGGTTGATACAATATTGTGCAGTTAAAGTATCAGGTTCTCATTAGCTTGTGCTGACATTGCAGAAGTCGGTGACTCACACAGTACTGATATACAGGTGCTGGTCATAAAATTAGAATATCATGAAAAAGTAGATTGATTTCAGTAATTCCATTTAAAAAGTGAAACTTGTATATTATATTCATACATTACATACAAACTCATATATTTCAGATGTTTATTTTGTTTCATTTTGATGATTACAAATGACAACAAATGAAAATCTCAAATTCATCATATCAGAAAATTAGAATATTGTGAAAAGGTTCAAAATTGATGGCCCCTGGTGCCACACTCTAATCAGCTAATTAACTCAAACCACCTGCAAAAGCCTTTAAATGGTCTTTCAGTCTAGTTCTATAGGCTACACAATCATGGGGAAGACTGCTGACTTGACAGTTGTCCAAAAGACGACCATCGACACCTTGCACAAGGAGGGCAAGACACAAAAGGTCATCGCTAAAGAGGCTGGCTGTTCACAGAGCTCAGTGTCCAAGCACATTAATAGAGAGGCGAAGGGAAGGAAAAGATGTGGTCGAAAAAAGTGTACAAGCAAGAGAGATAACCGCACCCTGGAGAGGATTGTGAAACAAAACCCCTTCAAAAATGTGGGGGAGATTCACAAAGAGTGGACTGCAGCTGGAGTGAGTGCTTCAAGAACCACCACACACAGACGTATGAAAGACATGGGTTTCTGCTGTCGCATTCCTTGTGTCAAGCCACTCTTGAACCACAGACAGCGTCAGAAGCGTCTTGCCTGGGCTAAAGAGAAACAGGACTGGACTGCTGGTGAGTGGTCCAAAGTCATGTTCTCTGATGAAAGTAAATTTTGCATTTCCTTTGGAAATCAAGGTCCCAGAGTCTGGAGGAAAAGAAGAGAGGCACTTCATCCACGTTGCTTGAAGTCCAGTGTAAAGTTTCCACAGTCAGTGATGGTTTGGGGTGCCATGTCATCTGCTGGTGTTGGTCCATTGTGTTTTCTGAGGTCCAGGGTCAACGCAGCCACATACCAGGAAGTTTTAGAGCACTTCATGCTTCCTGCAGCTGACCAACTTTTTGGAGATGCAGATTTCATTTTCCAACAGGACTTGGCACCTGCACACAGTGCCAAAGCTACCAGTACCTGGTTGAAGGACCATGGTATCCCTGTTCTTAATTGGCCAGCAAACTCTCCTGACCTTAACCCCATAGAAAATCTATGGGGTATTGTGAAGAAGAAGATGCAATACACCAGACCCAACAATTCAGAAGAGCTAAAAGCCACTATTAGAGCAACCTGGTCTATCATAACACCTGAGCAGTGCCACAGACTGATCGACTCCATGCCACGCCGCATTGCTGCAGTAATACAGGCCAAAGGAGGCCCAACTAAATACTGAGTGCTGTACATGCTCATACTTTTCATGTTCATACTTTTCAGTTGGCCAACATTTCTATAAATCCTTTGTTTTTATTGGTCTTCAGTAATATTCTAATTTTCTGATATGATGAATTTGAGATTTTCATTTGTTGTCATTTGTAATCATCAAAATTAAACAAAATAAACATCTGAAATATATGAGTTTGTATGTAATGTATGAATATAATATACAAGTTTCACTTTTTAAATGGAATTACTGAAATCAATCTACTTTTTCATGATATTCTAATTTTATGACCAGCACCTGTAAGGATGGTGATCCAGTTACCTTCTATGGTTAAGAACATGTTATTCCATGGGAGGATGACCTTTTATCAACCTTATAGTGAAGAGAACTTCAAAATAAAGTTTTCAGTTGTAAAATTTTACCATAGCTGATTGGATCAAACTGACCGACTTTAGCATATTATGAGTTCTACGATCATTAATAAAATGTAAACAAAGCTGTGAGCGAGACAAAAGAGCAACAGTCCATCTGTCGGAAAAACCGAGATAATCTGGTCGCCTTGAGTTATCGCCTGTGGGTGTGACCATCTCTGAGAAAACAGGCTCTTCCATATGTCTTTAAATGCAAAGAAAAGAGATTAAATGTAATATTTTACAATGACTTTAAGTAGGTAACGCTTGGGACAGCTTCCAATCTTCCCAGGAGCTGATGACCCGTTTAATTCATGCCCTGCAACCTGAATCTCTTAGAAAAAGAAACAGAAATTTCTACGTCTAAGGCTTCACAAACCTTAGTCATCACAATGACAGGACAGTACAGGCTAAAAAAAGTGAACTAATATGCTTACCCAGGAAAAGTTAGAGAAAGTATGTTCTTTCTTTAAAAAAAAAATTATAAAATAGGCAGGTCAGACAAGGTTTGCAAAGATGAATCTGAATAAACCACACGGATTTCCACAATATTTGACGACTACACTACACTACAAAAATCAAAATTTACATAAGTAAATGTTTCTTAAAATAAGTGCATTTGTTCTTGGATTGAGGAGGTAAAAGAAACATTTTGCCAATAGAACAAGACAGTTTACACTTAAAATAAGAAAACACAATTGTATTATCTTATTTCAAGTACATATTATCTAGTTATCTTATTTTAAGAATAAAAATACTAATTCCATTGGCAAACTATCTCATTTACCTACTCAAATTAAGGATAAATACACATACCGGTAATTTAAGTAATTTGTGCTTATTTCTAGATCATTTTTTCAGTGTATGCAGTGCAAAAACAATCTAGAAATAAGTAAAACAAATCTTTAAATCATATGTATTTGACCTTATTTTGAGTAGCTGTATTAGAGGATTTGCCAAAGGAATGGGATTTTTTTTTTTTACAAATTGCAATTAAATAAGATGCACTTTTTCTTATTTTAAGTGTAAATTGTCTTGTTCCATTGGCAAAGTGTCTCATTTATCTCCCTATGACAAGAAAAAATACACGTATTTTAAGAAGAAATTACTTAGATTTCAATTTTTTTTCAGTGTAAACACAGCAAAAGAAGTGATATAGTGATGCTTTGGGCTGTTTTTTTTTTCACCTGTTGGACCATAGCACCCTGCAGTCACTCAGTCTACACCTGTACTGTAAAGTTTTTAAGAGTCATATGTTAGGACATCTAAATATGGGCTTCATATAAAAGATTAGTTATACATTTCTTAACAGCGAGGGACTAAAAAAGCCAAACAGAGAATAAATGTTGTGAAAATATTAAATCTATTATGCGCTTTCATGCACTGGAGCCTAGATTCAGACCATATGTCCTGATAAAGTTTGACCTCAAATTTAAATACACTGTGCAGTTATAACCTTTTCTCCTAAGCAATTGTGGCATACAATCAAAACAAACGTATGTTTTATGTTAGAAGTGTTAAAAAAAAAAAAAAAAAAAAATTGTGCCAGAATGTTTATTTTCTTTTACTTTTATCCACCTAAAATCAATTGCATTTGTTGCTGCTCCTTAGCAGACATTTTTTTGGGCCCAGTAAGAGTTTATCTTATTTCACTTTTGGTGAAAAGGAGCCTGTTATGTTGAAAACTGTTGTACATATGCGTAGGGCAGACCTGGTGTAAAATTAAACTACAGGAAAGGTTTTAGTACAAAGGTTGCATCTGGGTTTCTCCCTATAATCAACTGCAGCTGGCGTTTTCTCTCCTGCAACTTCCTGCTGGGAAATAAGGCTATCCACTGTCTGTAATGCTTTACATTTCTTTCCAGTGACATATGA